AAGGAGAGCAGAAAGGTGGGTCTTAAAAATAATCTGCAAGAACGAATGTAATGGACAACAGCCTCGGAAGAGAGCAGCGCTTCGAGATAGGTAATAGTGCACTTGAAGTTGTAAAAGGCCAAGCCACTCGGGGCCGGTATTAACTGCGGAGCCAAACCACGAGATTAAAGTACCTAGCAGACTAAGAATGGGGTGGAGCACATTTAGCAAGCACTGTCAAATCATGACAGGTAGATTACCACTATCCCTTAAGAGGAACGTATATAACAGCTGGATCCTGCTGGTACTTAGCTATCGAACAGAAACATGTAGACTTATAAAGAGTGTTCAGCTTAAGTTGAGGACGACGCAGCGAGCGATGGAAAGAAAAATGGTAAGCGTAACCTAAAGAGACAAGAAGAGAGCAGAGTGGATTATGGAACAAAGGGGGCTTAAGGATATAATAGTTGAAATCAAGAGGAGGAAATGGACATGGACTGGGCATGTACCGCATAGACAGGACAATCGCTGGTCATTAAGGGTAACTAACTGAATTCCCAGGGAAGGCAAGAGGGTGAGGGGGAGACAGAAGGCTAGGTGGGCAGATGAGATCGGGAAGTTTGCGGGTAGAGATTTGCAGCAGAAAGCACAGGACCGAGTTAACTGGCAGAACATGGGAGAGGCTTTTCTCCTGCAGTGTACTAGGTCAGGCTGATGATGACGATGAGTCTCATTTTAGAGTAATGTGAAAAAACGGTTAGGGCAGACACAAATTCTTCACAAAATTGGGGATTAGTAACCTAGAAACTGCGATAACATGCTTATTTTATCCGAAAAAGTAACAATAAATTCCGAAAAACACCATGCGAATTTTAAGAAATAAGCTTTTTAAAGAATATGTATTAGGAAAAGAGGCACCCCAAACAGTGATAATTTGTTAGCTCTCATGGGAGCTTTTTGAGTTCATGAAAAGCCCTTAGTCCATTTCGAGATGCCTCAATACCAGGTAGCACGAAGTTGGAGCCACTCTCATCAGTTGAACCTTCACCCAGCTGTAATTTTCAATTTTTTTCCTTCGACAGACGTTGATTAGCTGATCTGTTGAGCTCATTGCAAAGACATAGTTGCTTATACTGTAAGCAGTCACAAATGATATGTGTAATGGTTTCTTCCTTGTCACATCTGTCACAGGCCGCTGTATCGGCCATCTCAGTGCGGAAAGCATAGGACAGGTGGCTATACTTTTGAGCGTAGAATTATGTATATGCGCTTTTCACTAAGAAAGAGAAAAAAAATGGAGGAAATGAAGCATGCCGAAAAATGTGGAAGTAATCATACAAGTGCACAAAATATAAAAGGTGAGAAGAGTGCATAAGCACAAGTTGCAGGTTGCCTTGCTCTTTCGAGCCGCGAAAAAGACTAATCGTGATCGTAAAATATGTTCCATTGATGACAGTCTGTTGTTTCCCGTGACAGCACTAGTCTCTGGAACTTTGTGAAAGCTTTCATCTACATACGTCATATCACACAGACCTATCCGATGCAGCACGCAAAGCTTTATGATCATCAAGAAAGAAGGCATGCTGATCGTTTTATGTTCACACAGCATTTTTTATATGAAAACCTATGAAAAAATATGCTGATTCTACCGTAAGAGTGGTGTTTTTTCACACACAGTGTTAAGTAGCTCTGCGAATCGCTGCAGCAACATAACACAGCCACTCGCGCTAGAAAAAGGAAATACGCACAGTCGTTTCTCGTTGAGAAAGAAGAACGTAGAAGGATATACAGGCCGCGCTTGATATCTGTTACTAAAGCCTTCGCCACTGCGTCCTTATAATTAACGTTCACTGTCGCCACTCGAACGATCCTCCTCCATCCCCACGTTCACATACACGTATTATGCGCCTTCAACGCAAACAGAGCGTTTACGCCTTGCTTCAGCAGCATTTGATGGCATGCTTCAATCGTGGATTAATCTTACCGCATGCGCTCTCTGATAGACGGAGATTGGCTGATACATTTGATCAGCCGTGTTGATCTCCGCCGTTCACGCGCTTTTACCCACGCCTATATCATACAGTGTACAGGGCAATGACGTCAATTGGGGCATTTTACGTGTCGATGGCGAGAACCCATCGATAGTGCCCATATACTTGATATCGCAATAACACTTGACTGAGATAAAACTTAAAGTTTTATGTTTACAGGAATGCTATTTTTGAGGTTCTCCGAGGAAGCCCTACAGATCAACATACGTTCCGATCCCATAGACAAGAAAAACTTTTCGTCATTTTAAGTGGCTTATCCCATGTAACAAGGGGATCAATGTAATGCAAAGCATGCGCAAAGATTGTGCCCTGTACTTTAATTATTATATGGACACTCTCAGCTAGATTTCTCTGCCGGCGTCAGCTTTGACGTGGACGTCGGTGTCGACGTCGTCGTCATGCCCCGTATATGTATACGCACCTATGTATATGAAAACGCAAAAAAGCAAAAAAGCAGAAAAAGACTCCGGCATGCGGAATCGAACGTCAGACATCCGCACCATGAATTTGAGAAGTTAACCACTGAGCCACTGAGAGGTACCTCCTTCGACGTTCAAAGGCAAGCTATTCATATCTACCACTTACCGCTGTTAGCAGGTATCTTGGGGGGGGGGGGGGGGGGCTATCGTGTTTAAGTATTATTAGCAAGATGGCACAGTCAGCGCGCGGTGACTCATCTCTCACGCGTACCTTTGCCCGCGTAGAGATTAAAAGGTTGTACGCTCCATCGTGCGCCCTTATCTCTCAGTGGAAAGAATCATACGTCTTGGCTAGCCTTTGGGTTAAGTAGGAATGATTCTGTTGTAGTTGCCGGGCGCACAAAGGTCGCTGAAATCGTTGCGCAGCCTTCGTCTGCTAAAAGGGTGCGCTTTTCAGACACAGCGAAGTAACAGCAGAGTCACTTATTCGCGTTAGTCTGTACCTGTGAGTATGTTTCGTGCGTCCTTTGTGCGTGAGAAACGCGGGCACGTCTCGATCTGCTTGCCATTCTGCGCTTGACCTTCATTGCTATCTAGTTCATTCTTTCGCCTTTGCGGCAAAGCTGCGCCTTTTTTATTTAACCAAGCACTACAAAATCATGCTAAATACACGTAAAAATATTGTCGCTCAGCCATATGCTCAACAGTCGCGTATACTTTATATAACCAAATGTTTACAGTTGTGCAACGATGCAAACAGCAACATGGTTATTAGCAACACAGAAGAGGTAAGTAGACGCGTAGCGCTTTTGCTGGCAAGGGTGGTAACACTGGTCTGTGGTGCGTTGACGAACTTCAGTGGATGTTGATGAAGTGTATAACTGACGCTAAGCCGACGTGAATCCTGTGTCATAGGAGTACGTATGTGGTGTTTATAACATTGAATGGCCAGCAACACAACCACAATTGATGTTTAGCCAACAATAAGGTCTTTTTCCAAAGCACTTTCGAGACCTAACGCGACTCTGTGGTACTGTACTCTATTGGCACGCAGAATGCTTGGTTTCAATTTGTTCTGGGACCCTAATATTTAACATTTGCATTCATTGGGTCACAGCAGCCGGTTTTAGCTTTTCTTGGTGTTCTTGCACCTAAACTACAAGTGTGTGTTCCTGCCGCTCCAGGGACAACAAACTGTCAATTGGTCATGTCGTATACTACTTACCACAACATTTGAAACTTAACTAATCATGTCATGACCTGTCCAAGTTATCCGACATGCTTTCTCACCCCTAAGTGCTGATTGTGTACACCAAGATAACGCGGCGATATACGTAGTATAAATTGCGATATATGATATACGGTGATAAATGCTACGTGTATTGCTTCCCTGTCTAGTAGCCAAACATTTGTATGGGATATACAGTGATATATACACCCTTGGACAGACAGACAGACCGACAGACAGATAATCACGCAACAAAACTCTTCACATTTAAAAAGCAATATACGCATAATTTCGCCATATACTAGGCTTTGGTTCTGTACTCTCAGTTCGTGTTCTTTACATCGGTGAATTTAAGGACCTGAGAAGAGCATAAAGAAATCGTGAAAACGGGATTTAAGTTTGCACTACAATACCCGCACGAAAAAACGAAAGAGTTTCGTTCACCTAACTTGATCGAGCATTGTTTTCCTTAGTGCGTTTAAAACATAGAGTAAGAATACCAAATCTAAAACTCAAAATTGTGATATGCATGCAATATTCAAAATGCACTAAACAGTGATAAAAATGAAGGAGAACAAAAGACTCCTTTAGATCATAGCGAGAAATCAAAACTAAAACAGAAACTTGCTTGTTATGTTTCGGTGGCGACATCTTGTAGAATGCTGTGAAACTAATTCCTGGGCCGAAAAAACATGTTTTGGCACGTGGCATTGAACCTTGCCGGTACAGTGATTGTCACCCCACAACTGTGCGATTAACGCATTCGGCCACGATTGTTTTAGGGGTGTAGCTTCTTAAAGCGGCACCCGTTCATCCCTCGTCGTAGTACGTAACATGCATTACGCTTTGGCCTGCAAGGTGGTGCCAGTGGGAGATCTCTCCTGTGAGTTGTTGAACAATAAAAAAATTCGCAGCGTGCGCGTTTACTAGAAGCCGAATTCTCCTGTCCCTCATTCCCCATTAGCAGCTATTGGTATGTACATTGAGCACTATCTGACAAGAAAGGCTTGCTACGTTGGTAGAGGTTCTTGAATGATAAAAGTGAAGAGAAAAGCGCGGAGCTTTTATTGTCTTTCAATACGAAGTCACTTACACAGCTCAGCGCGGGGGAAGGGGGAGGGGGAGGTAAAGATTGAGGAAAAAAGTATAGGAGGGAAAGGACACAGACGACTGTCTCGGACGTAGCCCACGCTGCCGCCGGGAACTGGAAAGCAGTCAGGCGAGCCGCATGGGGAGAGAACAAGAGCACCACGTGGCGAGCGTCAGAAGAGGTGGGCGTGGCCCGACACGTAAACAAACACGGACACGTGGATGCGGGCCGCACTAGAGGCGCGCGATGAGGGCAGCGTCACCGAAAAACTCGAATAGGGCCTCGAAGGCCTGCATCAGCCTCGAGCGGTGGGTCTGGGGAAACCGGAGGTGGTCGAGGCTCATGTGTGGCAGCCCCAGACGACCGTAGGTGTCGTAGAGCCACCGAAGTTGTTCAGTGTAGCCGGGGCACTGAAGCAGGATGTGCTCGGCGGTCTCTTCTGCCGGGCATTCGGCACACGAAGGGCTCCCGCTGTTGGTGAAGCAAAACCGCCTCGCAGCGGTGCGGGAACAGTTGGTGCAAAGCCGAAGCAAGAAAGCCCGGGCACGCCTGCTGATGCCGGTCCTCGGCAGCGGTCGCGGGGGGTTTCCTGTAGCCACACGTGAGTCCGGGTGTAAAGCGTGCACATGGCGCGCAATACGAAGGTGCGCAACATTGCTCGCGCGGATGAACGATGAAATGGATGTGCTAGGGTGGTGAGCCTCCTTGGCGAGTGCGTCCGCTGTCTCGTTTCCGAGTAGTCCAACATGAGACGGCACCCACTGGAACACAACATCACAACCATTCCGCACGATCACCGCGAACTTCCGCGCGAGCCGTTGCGCAACGGGAGCGCCGCGTTCTCCGCGGGCAAGTGTGAGGAGGGTGGCGCGGGAGTCACACACCGCTGCTGTGACTGGGGAAGGAAGTCAACGAGTTGATTTGCCGTGAGATCAATCGTGCCAAGTTCAGCAGCAGTGGAGGAGGCACTTATGGGAAGCCGACACTTCTCACGGAGGCCGAGGGATGGGGCGAAACAAGCGGCTGCTGCCGAACCGTCCGCTGTGACTGAGCCGTCAGTGTACAGTAGAACTCGGCCGGCGAGCCACTCCTCTATCATCGCGACAGTCTCCTGGTGGAGAGCAGACTGGGGTGTGTGCTTTTTAGATCTGATGCCGGGAATGGTGGTCTTGATCTCGAGGCCGGGATCCTAGTGCAGTGGAATCGGGAGCAAGCCGCAGTAAGGCGGGTCGGGCACGAGCGCAGCGTACTCCAAAGCGACCCATGCCCGAGTGGCGACGATCAAGGAGTCGTCCAGCCAGGCGTCGTCCCTTGGGCGTGAGGTACATGCGGTGTATGTGGCGCAACGCACTGCCTCTCGCTCGGAGTGAGAGGGACGTCTCGCCAGCCTCCGCCAGGGTGGGGCCGATCGGCGACGAGCGCGGCAGGGCATACAGGCGGCGTACGACGCCACGGTGGAGGATGTCCAGCGCGTCCCATTGCGCGGGTCGTAGCGCGACGAGCGGGACGGCATAGAAGACCCTGGCCGACGCTACCGAGCTGAAGAAACGCAGCGCGATGTCCGGCGAGCAGCCCCTGCCACTGGCGAGGATGCAGGAGGCCATGCCGCCAATCCTCCTTGTGTCGCTGCGAATGGATGCCAGCGCGGGCCTCCAGCTAAGCCGGTGGTCTATTGTAAGATCAAGATAGCGCATATTGCGCTTCCACGGCAGCCGGTGGCCGCGAAGGACGAACTGCGGACAGACGAAGCACCTCGTGCGCTTCGGGTGGACGTGCATGGCCTCCGTCTTGGCGGCTGAGCGCTGGAGACCGATGCCTGTGATGAAACCGTCCACTGCATGAATTACAGCTTGGAGTTCCTCGTGGACTTGTTGACCACGAAGGGTGGGGCTACTGGAGAAGAGCGCGATGTCGTCAGCGTAAACAGCAGCACGCACCTCGTAACCAGTGTTGCGCGGGATGTGGTCGGTGAGGCGTGCGAGAGCTGCATTGAAGAGAAAGGGGCTCAACACACTGCCCTGCGGCACACTCGCTGACACCACCCGAGGACCGCTGAGTTCGCTGGCAACGCGCACACGAAAAGACCGGCCACTGAGGAAAGCCTCGACGTATTGGAGCATGTTCCCGCGCACACGCATCTCACGGATGCCGTCGAGGATGGTAATGTGTGGGAGCGAGTCAAACGCACTCTTGACGTCGTAAAGCAGGAGGTATCCCGCCTCCCCACGGTGCTTGGGTTCCTCAAGAAGGCTCATGACGTCCGAGATCGAGTCCGCTGTCGCTCGATGTGCTCTGAAACCGGACTGTTCAGCCGCGAGGAAATCTAGAGCAGAAGCGATCCATTGAAGTAGCGGGCGCACCATAGCTTGGAATGTTTTCCCCACGGCCAAAGTGAGCGAAACCAGTCGGTACGATGAAGGCTCGGACTCCGGCTTCCACTTCTTGTGGATGGGAATCACTAAGGCTTTTCCCCACGAGGATGGTAGCGCCCCCGTTAACCAGATGACGTTGTAAGCATCAAGCAGATTTCGAAACTGGCTGGTATCCAAGTTTCGGAGCATCTGATGCGTGACGCCATCACCCCCTGGCGCCGAGCGGCCCCCCGAGAGTCGAGCACATCGCAAAGCTCCCGGATGCTGAAATTGGCTGTGCACAGCTCACCCATCGCTTCCACGATGGCTGGTGTGGGGAAGAAGCGAAAGGGCGCAAAGAGTTCGGGCCGTGCATGTGGCGGCAGCACGGGCACGGGAACAGCTGCACTTGCAGTGGGCGCACTGGCGAAAGTGTCAGCCAGCATTTTGGCGAGTTGCGCGGTGCCGATTCCAAGCGTGACCGCGATGGAGGGCTCCGGATGCCGGGGCACACTGGGGCGGAGGAGGGCTCGGAACACGCGCCAGGCACGCCGTTGGTAGCGCAGGTCATCGAATGTGCGGCAGAGGCTGGACCAGCTCGATCCCGTTGTTTATGGGCCTGGCGTCGACAGACCGCGTCGATGCGGTTGTAAACAGTCCAGTCCTCTGCCTTGTCCGAACGTTCCGCTTTGCGCTGCGCCTGGCGGTGAGCTGCGCGTAGGTTGAGGAGCTTAATGTCGGGCATGGGCGTGCCCGTCAGCACTCGACACAACGTCGTGGCGGCACTCGCGCACTGCACAATGTGTTGGAGAAAATCGCCCGCGACTGGCACTTCAGCACGCAGTTCGCGGAAACGGGGCCAGTTCACAACACTGTAGACATTGGTGCGCAGAGCGCCGGTATAAAAGGGCTCCAAGAGGACCGGATAGTGATCCGAGCCCTCAGTGTCCGGCGCGCGACGCCACGAGTAGTAGCAGTCGTCCGTGACGAGGGTGAGGTCAAGTGCACTGCGCTTAGCAACGGGGGACACGAATGTTTGGCTGCCATTGTTGATGATGTGTAGGCCAGCGCGCAGGACAGCATCCATTAAGGCGCGGCCAATGGCGTTTGCAATCGCGCACCCCCACGCCAGTGTGATGGGAGTTGAAATCCCGACACAACACAGAAGCACTTCCGAGGCAATGGGCGAGCCGCACAATAAATTGGCGTCCCACTGGCGCGACGAGTGAACATAGACGCTCGCGACACATGTGTCTGTAGTGCCAACACGCACCCTCACTTCCACACACTAGACGCCCGCGCCGACGATGTCCGATATGTAGAGATGCAACTGGAGAAGGCACGCGCGCACGTAGATAGAAGCCCTTGCCAGGCCCTGTGGGTGCGCCGGGTTGTTGCAGTGCGTGCTTAGGCACGCGCTGTTTCTGCAGCTCGTTGCCCCGTGGTACGCCACGTAACCTGGTAGGCTGAGTGCCCCATCGCAAACACGCGTCTCTTGCAATGCTAGGACGTCAAAGTCGCGCTGGGGCAGTGAGCGGGCGAGCTCAGGGATACGGCGGCGGAGAGAGCGCACGTTCCACTGGAAAATCCGCAGCCGCGGCTTCTTCGATGCACTAGCCATGGTGTGTGAGATTTTGATGTGCGCGCCAAGCTGCGAGGCAATAGTCGCGCGTCGTCGTGCTGCACACTGTCGTCTCCAGAAGTGCGCGAAGAGCCGCGGCCAGCGCCGTCGTCACTGTATCACTTGCGTCCTTTTGACGAGGGGGAGGGGGGCATGTAGGCTGTGTGGCCGCTCGTGCCGGTGCTGTCGTGGCATTGCCCTTCAGGGCATCGCGGAAAGAGCAGCCAGAGTGTATGGTAGCCGTTGCTGTCGCTGAAGCCTCCCGTTGAAGCGCAACTTTCGCTTGCTTGATGGCTTCGCGGCACGTCAGTTTACCGCCAGAAGAGAGGAGGAGAAAGGCGGGCTTTCGTTGCTGCTGCCAAGAATCGCACCGAGGTTCGTTCACAGGGTGAGATCCCTTGATATTAATACAGCGGGGTCTTTCTGAGGTGCAGGGAGCCTCGGAGTGGTTCGCGCCACAACGGAGGCAGCGCCTGTCGCGCGAGCACGTTGCTGTGGCGTGCCCAAACACACCACAGCGCGCACACTGTAGGGGACGCGGGAGGCACACCCGAACCAGCCTCCATTGTTTAAAAAGCGAGAGCTCAGCTGTATCATGGTCCCTTCGAATGTAATCACCAGCGTGGAGCCGCGCCACGCACACGAAATTGTCTTAACAGATGAGGCAATGTTCGCGGCAATGATGTCTAGGGGAATGTTTTTGTCCACCCCAAACACCTCCCCAACACACGAGTTCAGATCGAGCACCTTTGCTTTTACTTGGACATCAACGATGGTTCTTACCTAAAGAAGAGGACCGACGTCCGAGTTGAGGGCGGTGTCGAGAGCGACGAGGTTGTGGCGATGATTCACCCGCACCCGTTGTGTGGCTGGTAAACCAGCGATGAAAGCGGCGATTGTGTCCCGCGATGCAGCGAAAAAGTGTGATTTACGGCCAAGCGGTCTAAAAATGATCGTCTGGCCGATCGGGTCAACGGTGCGCTCTGGTGGTTTTTGGCGAAGAGGGGCGTTGACCTTCGCTATCACGTGAGAGGAAACCGGGCGTGGTGCTGTTTCCTGCTTTTTTGTTGACTTCCCCTTCTTTTTCCCCTTCTCTTGGCAGGGAGGGGTGGACCGGTGCGCAGAGTGTTATGTTGCCGGGCGCTTCTGTGGTGGGAAGAGGGGGAAAGCTTGCAGAGCCCGCCTGGGGGAACGAGGAAACTCCAGCTGTTTGACTGATTGATATGTGGGGTTTAACGTCCCAAAACCACCATATGATTATGAGAGATGCCGTAGTGGAGGACTCCGGAAATTTTGACCACCTGGGGTTCTTTTACGTGCACCCAAATCTGAGCACACAGGGCCTACAACATTTCCGCCTCCATCGAAAATGCAGCTCCAGCTGTTTTAGCAGACGATGGCCTGCTGCACTCATCCGAGCGAGGAAGGAGGAAGGGCCCTCCTTGCCCTGCTTGTTGCTCCTCGGCCACGTAACTCGGAGCAGCCGAAGGCATGGCGGGAGGGAGACTCGTTTTGCTGAGAGAGGGGGCTTGCTCCTGGCCAAGAGAAACACTCGGAGCGGCGGGCGCGCGGCCTCCCTCGCTCCCTTGGCTGTGTCTGATGGTTTCCTGGCTTTCTCCCCTGACGTCATCATGGTCGGTCGAGAGTACGACAACGGGAGTTTTCTGTTCTCAGGAGAGGCTGAGTCGGCAGAAGGTTGCCAATGCTTGCGTCCCCTCTTGAGCGAGTCGATATATTCCCGGTCTATTTCAAGGCCATCAATGACGTCAAGCTTAATGTCGGCGTTTGGCCAGTAGGGAGCGCCTGACGGGGAACCAAGGAGGGCACGGAGGAAGGAAAGGCAAAGTAAAATATCCACTAAACAAAGTGAGAAAGTAATCACGGAGGATAATAAAACAGTGTGGACATTCACGAATCTAATTAGACATGTTTCAGCTAGAGCTTGCTAAGACGCGTGACAAGTCACCCCGGAAAAGAAGACACAAACCCAAAAGTTGGTGGGATGAGGAAGTTAAGAGAGCCATAGCAAAACGTCAGGAAGCCTCCAGGGAACACAGACATGCTAAGCAGTGTGGTGAACCGACAGATGATGTTGAAAAAAATGGGAAACCTTTCTAAGCTGTAGAAGGAATGCATTCCCTCTGATCAATGAAAAGATTAGAAGAAAGGAGCTCAGTGGCTAGCAGAAGTAAATAAAAAGATAGAAAGGCAGCTGTGAAATTTTGGAACCATCTTAACTCCCTAAGAAATGAGACGAGCCTAGAGCACAGGTTTATAACTACAGCCCAAGGTGCTAGGCTACAAGGGGACGATGCCATTGCATATATAAGAAGAAGGGTGACAGAAAAAATTCAACAAAGAAGTGCTCGATGCACCACTATAGACAACAATGAATTAAGTGGTGCAATGGCTCCATTTTCACAACGAGAGTGGGAAAGGGCTGAGAAAAGGGTTCCTAGTAGTACATCATTAGGCCCAGATGGCATTTCAATTATGCTGATAAAGACATTAGCTCCGAAGTCTAAGCAGGCTTTGAGAGAGGCAGTGAGCAAACTAATAATCAATGGTGAAGTTCCCAATGGATGGGAACTTAGCAGGATGAGCACTATCTATAAAGGTGTGAAGGGGGACAAAGCTGACATAAACAACTACCGTGCTATAACAGTGACATCAGTGATCTACAAGCTGGCGATGCAGATTATAAAGGACAGACTGCAGGCAGAAATAGAGGATGAGGGGGTGCTGAGGGAACTGCAAAATTGGTGTCGGAAACACAGAAGGTTGGAAGACAATCTGTTCTCACTGACGCAGTGCATCGAAATAGCAGAAAAGGAACACAGGCCCTTGTGGCTAGCATTTTCGAATATCAAGGTAGCGTACGATAGCGTGGTTCAAGAGATATTGTGGGGAATACACACTAGGCGTGGAACAAGTAGTCACTAAACATTTAAAGGATATCTATAAAGGTAACAAGGTAGTGATAAAATCGGAAAAAACAGGTATCCAGGCCTGCAGAGGTAAAACGGGGGCTTAGGCAGAGGTGTCCCCTTGTCACCCCTATTATTCATGATGTACCTACAAGGATTAGAGGCCAAATTAGACGGAAGTGGACTGGGCTTCAACCTCTCTTTAGTCAAACAAGGAAAACTCATTGATCAGGCACTACCAGCATTAATGTACGCAGATAATATAGTGCTAATGGCTGACAACAAAAAAGATTTGCAGAGATTGATGGACATCTGCGGTAATGAGGGAGAGAGGTTAGATTTTAGATTCAGTAAGGAAAAATCAGCAGTCATGATTTTCAATTACAACAAAGGTAGTGAGTGAGCTTAGAATATAGGAGGTCACGCTAGAGATAACAGATAAGTACAAATATCTGAGCGTATGGATAAGCAATGGGACCGAGTACCTAAGGGAACACGAAATATACGTGACGACTAAAGGTAACAGGAATGCCGCAGTGATGAAAAATAGGGCACTGTGGAATTACAATAGGTATGATGTTGTGAGAGGAATATCAAAGGTGTTATGGTTCCTGGGCTGACGATCGGCAAGGCGGTCTTGTGCATGAGATCAGAAGTTGAAG